CCCCCCCCCACACACACAAAAAAGTATCATACTAGGATTTTTTTGTTTTCTTTTTGCACGTTCTCAAAAGGAGTGGCTGAGCGCTCGAAACGTCCCAGCCCCGGATCATACGCGTATGACAGCGCCTCCTTGCCACCACACCACCTCCGACCCCTAGTACATATGAAGCGCAAAATGAGTAAAATGGAAAAGTTGAATATAGTTGCGACTACAACAACACATAGCACCGAATGCACGCTTCCTTTCAAGTGGAACTGCTTGAAGGTAATCGCGCTCACCAATAGTGCAAATGATTCCAGTTTTTCGGACATTCGGTGGAGCATTACGGATGTCGAGTCTACACAGATGATCTAGTCGATTTCTTGGCAACTCTTCAGGTTTTACTTCCTTCCTCAAACCGCAAAGCATCAAAGCACCAATAAACAAAGAAAGCATCAAAAAATGGAGACAATTTGTCATGTTGTCCGTCATCAATCGGCAGTGGTAGTACGTATGCTTAGCATTATGAGAATGTAAGAAAATCGAGCTCAAGCTAGAGTTTTGGAAGCGCTTATTAAATTGGAAAAAAACAGCCCCTTATTTTTGCTTGCAAAAAGCATGGTGTCTTGAAATTCATCCCAACAGAGGGTTCCTAAAGTAAAACTGTTTGAAATGAAATATCTATTGTTAGGGTGCTTTCGAATGCTGAGTTCAAATAAACGCCAAACATTCTCCTGGAGGAAATCATGAAGGCCATTACGAGTGAGCCTTCGGCAGCCCTTCATGTACGTTTACACCCTCTAGTATCGAGGTGTGTTTCACCTAGAAAATTAACGTTTGGCGATGAGTAGCTTCAAGAAGTGCGCGCAAAACAGAAGAAGAATGGGAAGACTAGCACAACCGATCGCTGTATTCTGCCTCTCCTTTCACGGTGGCCCTTGGTCACCGTGAAATGACTGCATTACTTTCCACGGTGATCCAGGCCTGTTGTGAATTCATACGGCATTACTGCACCATTTCTTAACTTGTTTAAAACGAATTACGTTTTCTTCTCTAGGCCATGCAATGACTTAAGCCGATTTTCAAGCCACATTGTGCTTCCCATTCCTCCCAAACGAATCTGGTCCCAATTAGGAGAAGTACGCAATTAAGTGCTCAACAAATTTGTACATGCAGCTAGGAGTTGTAGAGAGATTGTTTGCCAAATTTATGACTGCAGGTCGTCACTGCCAAGGACGTCACTAAGCGCTTAACTGCGACTTCTTCACTTCTTGCACAGTACATTTACCCATCGATTCAGTGTTCGAGTTCCTGCCCAAAACGACTAGCAGCGAGTGGTTTCGATCCACCGACCTCTGAGTTATGGGCCCAGCACGCTTCCACTGCGCCACGCTGCTTCGAGATGCACCATGCGACTTCTGCTTACACATCCACCATATTACTTCTGGCAGTTGGCGAGAGATTCATTTTTCGAATTCATATCGAAGATTATTAGCAACAAGTGGTCAAGTGCTTCTGACTGAGGAACTCTTGGGCTATAGGTCTTCCACGCTTCTAATGCAGAGGCATCCGGCTAGGAACATTTGAAACCATGAAAAGTCGACAAAGATGAGAAATGCGAGGGGCAGATACGTGTGCCTAAGGCACTTGGGTGGCCTTTTCTAAATGAAACAAAGCTTTATTTCCTGTAGTCAGGTACAGATGCACGAGTTGGAAAGACAGCAATGACAGAGACAGCATTCATTAGCTGCAGGAACAGGGGCTATCAACCTGCCTAGATCTACGTCTGTAATTTCCAAGCACTTAAAATACAATGGATTAATGTGAGACACCATGCTTCCAAGACATCGTAGCAAGATCATTCGAGACTTTAGTGCAGAGATGAGACGTGTCCGAGGCAATCCAAATTACCACCATCAGAAAACCTTTCCGTAAAAGACCGCCGCAAATGGTTCTACTTGACTAATCAACCACTTTCACGATATCAAACTTTCCTACTTCTACAAACCAGCTGCCGTAAACAATGGGTAATGACGACGTTAGAGTCTCCTTAACTCAACTACAATGGATAACTCATGTGATGCGACCGCAGAACACGTATCGTATTCATATGCCCTCAGATGCAGAGAGGCACCGATAGGAACTGGCACAGTTCGCAAAGAGCTTCCCACTTCAAGAATATACAACATCTGTAAACAGGAAAGCCGAAAGTAGGGTGTACTTAGCGAATCGTTACGTGAGAGGCTGTGGAACTATCGAGCAGTTCTTATGTTCGCATATACGCTTTTCGAACTTTTGCTTCTTTGCTTTTATTGGTGAGCTTTCGGCATATAAGCCCTCGTCAGACCTTAAGTTTACAACGATGCATACAACTAGCCAGTTACAACACAGAACACATGATACCATACCAGACCAGCAGAAATAATGGGGGAAGTTAGGGAGTTGACCTGGGGGCGGGGAACTTCCTAGGGAAATGTGACCGGCTCTTATCCTCAAGCGAAAATGTTATCATGCAATCAGTCTCAGAAAATTATGCAACTTTTTTGCGTTAATTTCCGGCTTGGTGAGGTATATTCCCCGTGCTTCCACGATTTTCGGTTCCATGTGCTGTATCTATGCAAGACCCTTACATCGAGGACCATTGAGCCTTTGACCTTTCAAAATATCAAATAGCCGTAATTCGGAATTGACATAGAAAAGGTGGGCATACTTATCAAATGCATTGCTACGAATTTTGATAAGGGCCCCTGTGTTGCGCTACGATGTCCTTTGGATGGACGTGGTATACTGGCAAGTGGTGCCACTACACCACGTCCACCCCAATGGCATCGTAGCACAGCTTAGATATAGCTTAAATATTCTTATCATGCGTGGCCTGAGGATCGAATCCCGAATCGAAAGGTACTCGCTCAGACGAACAAGCCTTCGATCTTCTACGATCGCCAAGTTGGTACCAGACTCGTCTGGAAGGACAAAAACACTGACTTGAACATCGACTGCCACTGCAACTCAGTGAACAGGCCTAATGAGCGATCAATACGATCAAGGGATTCTAACTTCCAGTGAACGTGCGACACAGTAACCCCTAGTGCCCTTCCAAACTTCCGTGGACTTCACCCGAAGTACCTTTCTGTCGCGCCGTATATGTGACGGGTGTTTGCAGGCGCTTGAGTGTGTGTTCGAGTTACTGTGTAACAAATCACGGGACGATTCTATTCGTCTTGTATCAAAACGTTTTAAGACTTTGAATAGAAGTCGAATGTGGCTCACACCCCAGAAATGGGGTTGATTGGCGCTAAGGTTTTCGCTGTGGACGACTCCGTTTAGGGTTTCGAAGCAACTTGTTAAAAGATTTTAGCTTCTGACATCTCGTTCCATAAACGCCATTATCGCTCGAGATTAAGACATGTAGGGTTCTCCACCCACCTGAGTGGTGTCCTAGGCTTTTGCAGAAATTCTTGTCTAGACATTGCGAATGATGGCAAATGAAGTCCAGACGGTAGGCAATGAAGAGGAACACTGAAACCTCCCTTCCCCCTCCCCCTTATCAATTTGATCAATTCAAAACCTATCTCCACTTCTAATCAGAGCTTATTTTCATTTCGATATTCCTCACCCTCGATCGATAAGTTTCAAATGTATCCTTCACCCCAGTGCCATAGGTCACAACTTCTCCAACCACTCAATCGTTTTGTGTTCAAGCGCGCCCTAAATCCGTGCTTGTTTTCTGCAATATGTAATTTCTCTTCGAGACCGTTCCCAACAACTTGCGATGAGAAGTACAGTCATTTCTGTCCTTTGTCACTGAAAGCTGAGTGTCTGAACTAATGATTTACTTCTTCTCGAAAAGAGAGATCCAGTAGTTTTTCAAGCCTCATTTAAGACGAAAAAATTTTAGGCCCTATGTACAATCTCCACACTTCTGACATAGGGTGAGCATTTTCATAGGCTTGCTAGCGCAATAGTGGTGGCTGCTGAGGGTGGACTTTTATCAACTCAGAAATCATAGACACCTTCTCGTTACCACGTTTGAGAGACGTGAAAAACAGATTCACATTGACCGTGGTGGCTCGTCTGGACCCATATTAATTCATTTCGTTAACATCCGCCTTCAAAATGATGAAATGCCTTGACACTGAAGGGCTTTGAAGGGAGCGTAAGACACGGTAATTCTAGAAGTGAAAGTGGGACGGGAGTGATATCGCTGAATAGACCCGATTTCACCAAGAGCTGCCCGAATATTCCCCAGAATCAAAAAGGTTGAAGGATCGAGAATTCGATGTTAATCAATCCCGTCTAAGGGTTGCTCCACGCATTGGGTTTCACTCAGATTCAAAGTGGAGTAATAAGTGAGTATGCGGGCAGTATAACGACGATCTGTTGCAAAGAAGCAATTCAATGCTTTTTTTTCCTCCCAGACCGGTCTGTTACCAATCACCTGAACCCGCCGAAATGGTAAGCTTCGGAGGTGTATCCTCTCAAGATTCCATCCCCTGACCATACGTGCGTGGTGATTTGCCTCCTGCCGTTACGCCACTGACGATCTGTCGCCGCAATAAACTGAAAAGTAAGGACCGCACTCTCGAATTTTGACTGTTTTTTTTTTCACCAAGAACGTCTCAGTTACATTTTTATCGACTGATCCTATATTGTTGTTGCTTGATCAGGTACCTTGACTTATATTCTGTGCTGGTCACGTGGAGATAGACTTTCGATACTGAGGTCTACTTAGTAAGAAACTGATTCAGTAGCGATTCAGTAGCGGGAGAACAGAAATAGAATTTCTTCTTTCAGTACGCGTGCAGTGACTCAACACAAAACCAAAAAGGAACTTTTGAATTCTCAAAAAAAAAGTCTATGGATAACATAATTTTTCGATCGCCGTATTTCCCATTATTGTACACAACAAATTCAATGCTCCATGTTATGGAAAAGGATCCAAGCTGAGGTTTCCTGATGTTTTCATGAACCTTGGATGGTCTAGGTACATAAGTACACTTCGTTAACCAAATACCTGCTTAAGTTCTTCATTGTCTTGACAAAATATTAATTTGAGCATCCCTGATAGTCTTGATTATGGTCAGAGAAAGCGTAGCCCTAACCAGGAATTCAGCAGAGCATTTCACTTTCTACCACGAAAAATCGAAAAGACTAGGCAGACATTTCTGGAGGGTTGATGGAACCTGGGTAAAGCTACCATCAAGGCCCTTCGGCAGACATTAAACTCAGAATCTTTGCTAAATGTACTACTCCCGAACTTGTTGCAAAACCAGAGCGAAATGTTCTAATTGTGCTAGGTTCAAATACGTTGGAAGGAAAAAGGAATGTCTTTGGGCGTTATTCAGTCCCGCCAGAGGGATGCGCCCCTGCATTAGACCTCCATTCAGAATTATAGTGGCGTATTGTAAGCGTATGTGGCCAATACAATGACTTGCGGTGACCAGCTGATGTACATGATAGTGAATTATCATTCCAGACTAGTATGGTACCAATTAGCCGACCCCGGAGAGACGAAAGACCTAGATGACCTGGCCGACATCGATCCGGGAGTGCGCCACTTGCCACTACACCACCTCCACTCTATCGGTTATTTGACAAAAAAAAAAGTCTTAAGAAGCGCATCAACGGACTCGGGGCCCAGCTCGGAGAAGAAGGGTAAATTGCGTCTGTAACTCACAACCTTTGCAACACGGGTAGAAAAAATTCGGTGGAGAGGGTATTTATTCATCAGTCAATATTACAACATATCACGTTTAAATACTAGATCATCATACTTTTCAATAAAACCATTAAAGTCACTCGCTATTATTAATGACCGTATTGCTACTGAACACTATACCTATAATCCTTATTATAAGGAAGTTTGAGACAATGACCAATATACGAAAAGACAATAGGAAGCTAGTTATAAGAATTTTAGTCAGCTAAAGGTTACTGAACCCGAACAACACACACTCGGTTGAGACAGGGAGCACAGCACGGAGTATCGTCGATGTGATGGATTACGATGCAGTGACGATTCGAAGAGTGTTAGTGAAACCAGCTCCTGGAAATATTTGGATGAGCAAGAACGTGACAGAAGAACCACCCTGTGAACTGACCCTGTCTCCATCCAGTAATCACCACCAGGAAATCTCCTCTGTGGATGAAACCTCTATCCTTGCCGATCTCTATGCCATGGTTAATTCTGTTATCAACGTCAGTAGGCCAATCAGCGCAACGAGGTTTGTCGTAATGAATAGGAAAGATTCCTCTGAAAGAATCACAGTACTGGAAAGTATTGAGCAGCACAGTTACTTAAGATTGCAGTGATGTCAACCATGAACACGCGCGTGATATTGAAGATTTTCATTTTTACACTTTTATCGTTGATCACCACAAGGGGCTGCTCCGGAAGCTTTCTATGACCTCTGAGAAAAGTATGATTCTCCTGGGGGAAGGCTAACTTTTGAAATTTGATTTTCTTCTTGGCTAAAATTATTTTTCATCAATAATAATGCTCGAACAGATTTTACTTCAGCAACTGATTCTTGCTCAGCCATTACATAAACCACGAAAACTCTCGTGGCGGAAAAGCCAATTTTATTAATGATCCGCATTGTCATGGAACGTGCAATGCATTGGATGGGCTGAGGATCGCCCTAAATTAGAAGTTGCAAAAGATCAGGCAGTATCTCGAATATTGTTCTACAATTTAGCTACTACTTGAACTCGACAATTATAGAACGATTTTTTAAGACTCTGAATCATAATCTTTTGCAGTTCCTATTGCAGAATTCAGCTAGAAGGTCATGTAGCATAAACCCGACGTACTGAGGGGCAGCGATCCAACCAACAATAGTACATATAACCCACTCATTCACAATTTAGACCAACCTGTATAGATGTAGCTGACGACATACAGATGCGCTGCGTGAGATTGTTAGCACAGGGACGGGGCTCTTGTATCTCGAGCAGCAGAGAGCCGAACTTAAGCAACCATCATAGAGTCAGACAGCGGAGCACCAACGTCTTTGAAATATCTCCCTTACCGTCCAGTGGTGGTGATAAGAAGGATGGCTGAAGCATTACAGCTGGCGGCAGCACTGGTGGCAGCGATTGCAATTGTTTGGGTCATGTCCGTGGGTCGTGGAGTATTCACAAGCAGCTCTTCGAAGAATTTGCGATGATAAACTGCAGCCTCCGCTTCCTACAACAGATGTGTTCATTCCCATCGCGATGTTACATTAAAATAAAAACCCTACCTTGCAGATGAAGTGCATAATCTTCAAAGCCTCGACTGGATAATCACCTTTCGCTGTTTCACCCGACAACATAACACAGTCCGCTCCATCGAGAACCTTCAAATGGACCACATTTCACGCAACTGTTGTGCTTCACAGTTCATGAGCTAATGTAATCATCAAGAAATGGAAAGCAAAAGAAATGGTTTAAAAGTCGAAAGCCAGATTGAAACATCAAAACAAGGTGATTACAGCCAGTTGCTTCTAATAGCATTCCATTGAAGAGTTTGATTTTCCAAAAGAAGACCATAGTACCGTGAAAACTACCAGCAACTGACAAAGGAAAATCTAGCTCATATACCAAGAAGAATTGAGTCGAAATGAAATACACAACCCTGAGTAATTTAAACGAGAAAATTTCATCGCTGACCCGTGCGGTACCGATCGACGACTGACCCCGTCAAAGAGCCGAGCGCCACTATACTTTACGCTTTACTACAAAAGGTGCCTCCAGAGGCGCAGTCCATGGGGATAAGGATTTTCGAGATTCCCAACTAGGACGAAGCTGTGGCTCCCAAGCATATCAGAGGGCTCAAAAAACGTCTTAAGTAGAGCGCAGCAGTAATTGAAGGAGCGGCTTCGCGGACATTCGCACCCAAGGGCGTACGTGTTACAACGGCGCCGCGAAGGGTGCACCATTCACAATGGAGCACACAATCAAATGTTGAAAATTATACAAAAACTGGACGCGTCGCGTTTTTAACACCTCTTTACGCGGATTTTCGTCTCAACGAGTTGGATTTTAAACAAAGTCAAGCTGAATTTCAACTTTTTTTCGTAATAAAACATTACCAACAAGTAAAGCAGGAAACAAAAAAATTGAATGAAAATTATGCAAAAATCAGCCTCTTTGAACGTACCGCATTTGCTACATCACTGCCTTCGGCTCGAGTTGGCCGCGGTTTTTTCACCATCGATTCCAGCATTTGAGTAGCGCAAATAACTGGTTTTCCGGCCTTGTTGCACTTCGCTATCAGCATCTGATGAGCGATTCCGTTAGAAACTTCAAATTGAGAGTGAAGAATTCTTGGCACCTTACCTTTTGAGCGAGGAACACTTTCTCGACAGGGATTTCAATTCCGAGATCACCTCTCGCCACCATAATACCATCGGATTCCTCAATAATCTCGTCAGCGTTATCCATACCTTCCTGGTTCTCAATCTTGGAGATGATTTTTATATCCTTGCCTTTTTCACCCATAATCTAAAATATGTACTATAGAATTCAAAAAATCAAGTAAGTAAACAAACATACAATAATTGTGAAGATTGCATCAACTTACCTTTCGAATGGTACGGACTCCTTCCGCGTTACGAATAAATGAGGCAAAGATAATGTCGACACCTTGTTCAAGCCCGAATTTTAGATCCTAAAATGGGAGTGGCCTTCACGTAGCCTTACAAGCATCTAATAACGGCGGGCCATGCCAATTTAGAAAACAACAAATTAAACGGAAAGTTATGTACCTGTATGTCCTTATCAGAAACAGCTGGTAAATCAACGATAGTTCCAGGAAGATTAACACCTTTGCGGCTTCCTTAAACCATTTCATTCAAAGCAGATATTTCAAATATAAAAGAAGACTTTTCGTAAAAACAAATAAACTCACCCAGCATTCCACCATTTTCAACTGTACATACAATGCCACCCTCCCTAATCTCTTCGACAATAAGAGAAATGAGACCATCATCCACATAAACACGAGATCCTTCTTTTACAACCTACAACGAAGTGCTGAGATGAGCTTATACCTATAATCGATCAAAACTATCAGGCCCAATAATGCTGGTAAACAAATAGAGAAAGTCATGGGCGAAGCAGTGATTATAGGGGATGCACATCCCACCCAACACATGGGATCTGATATGCAGGCTATGAGGGTCAGGCTTCTACCAAGGTAACCCGCTTGGCACACGGTTAGAGCACCCAACTCAGATTAGGTGAGGGAGAGGAGCAGTTGTCAGTGAAACTGCTTGACCTACAAGGGCAAAGAGCCGGGTTTTGTCTTAAGTCCAGGCTTGCCCTCGATTCCGTTATTCAGAACCGGTCCAATTCGCAGGGATGAAAAATGATGGTGCAGGAAACAAGAGTTTTCGCGAGCATTCACAAATTCGAATTCAAACACAGTTTTTCTATTCCACATAAAATAGGCTGGTTCAACACCAAGCGACATATCTTCAATATAAAAGATATAAGAAAATATGGCGCAGTTTCCAGCAATGATCGAAAACACCTTATTTACATAGCACGGGTCTGAATATACTGTCATAACAAACACTGACTCAAAAAAAAGGACGAAAGAGTAATGATTAGCTAAAAGTTATGCGTACCTTGGCAATATTTTTGTAGTCAACATAGAGGTTGACTGCAGTACTCGACTCTTTGAAACGGTCGGACGTAGTTATAAAAATTGAGCCTCCTTTCACGAGTTCTACCTGAAATAAAAATTTCACTTCACTCACCCTCCGTTGTACACTAATCACATTTGTAGCAGCAACTGAATCTATTTCTCAAAAAAAAATCCAATTTTCACCTCAGCTGTCGGTCCCCCGACCAAAATACCGGTACGAATTTCAGGACCTTTGGTGTCCAAAGCAATGCCAATCTGGCGAACTTCGCTGAACGACTCACAAGCCTCACGAATATTGGCAATCGTTTCCGCATGATACTGAAAATGGAAAAACTGCTTTTTAAAGAAGCGAGTCAGAAGAGAAGCCTGTATCACTCCAGGATAAGAGTGGTCTCAAAATTTTGGTTTGATCGAGGAATATAAGTTTCGGAAGGAACAATTCTGAAGCCATCCCCTCCACCCTCTTATAGAATGAACCATATCGTTACGAATACAACATGAGGGAAGAATCCATCTCGGAGGTAATGGATCCTACGCAGCATTCTCGTGGTATTCAACACTTGGCTTTTGAAACCCTTGAGGTCGTTCTTTGAAACCCCATGCATCTTCACGGTCAGTGAGTTTTATTCTTCTGCGCTGTGGTTCAATTAGGCGTTTGCACAGAACCAAAAGCCAACAGACACTTTGACGTTGATAATTTCTTTTGTTTCTGAGCAAACAAATACGTTCAATTCAACAGGTTTCCAGTTGAAGGCCGGCAAGGTCTATTCACACTTTTACCCGCTGAAGGTTGAGCTTCGATCCAAGAACTATATCTACTTCAGTCATCCAAATACGTTTCTATTGTTTGCCTACTTCACATTCATCCGAATAAGTTAAAAACAGGGACCTATTGAAACCTATAAGAACTATCAAGATAAGAAATGAGTCTACTTCTGCTTTAAAGAAGTGTAGTAAGTCAGAGAGAAAGCTAGGCAGATAACGAAAGAATAATGGTGATGAATGTTGTCACCTCATGGGTACCATGAGAGAAGTTGAGACGGGCGATGTTCATTCCATTTTGGATCATTTGCTGGAGCATATCCACGGAACGACATGCGGGTCCTGCAAAACAATCGTAAATATCGTCACATAGGTTTTGCTGGAATTTTTCGGAGCCATTGTATCCATCTGTTTACATTTAGAGATATTGCCTAGAGAACTTGTGGTTAATCAAAATAACCATAAGGATTGCCATTAAATTCTAGGCTTGATTTTATGGTGTATAAATAATGCTCAGGAATATTTTGTGGAGCTTGAGTCGTTATTCTCTTTACCGTAACATTTCCATGGTTTCCGTGGAACTAATAGCTAACAACAGAAAAGAACATTCTGTCCGCGCTCTTGCAGCAATCCAGCTGTGCGTATGCACGAGCGGACGCCTGCGGGAGACGGGCAGTAGAATCGGTTTTGTGTGGTCGATTCGTCGCACGCGGCAGTCGCGGACTAGTTGCCTCGTTACAACAGTTCTAGCGTTCTTCATACAGCTCGATCAATAAGCGACAACTAGTTTTGACATGATCCTATTGCTACTCCTTTTGCTCAAATTTTCTTACTCGCTGCGATGCTTCCGCTCCATTACTCTAAATTCTCTCGCGTGCGACGCCGCTCTCGCCTCGATGCGATATTTCCAGTTCAACTGCACCACACCATCCGTGATGCAACTCAGCCCTTGGGTGTATCTCGTTTCGCGCGACCCCTCCCATCGCGCACCCATTCGTCCCGGTTTATGAGGTGGACAACTCATCCAGGTGATTCAACCTCCTAACAATGCTAATTGATGCAAATACACAGAGTACAAGTAGGTCCGCAATTTGGTGTGTAGTAGTAGTGGCGTCATTAATAGGGTGTACATCAGCGGATGGGCAATGGGTCAGCCGACTAGAATGGTCAGGTGGGTGAACCGCCTGGACGACTTGTCCCGCCCAGAAACTGCGCCCAAGGGGAGTCGCGATGCGAGGGGCTGCGCCAAACGTCTGCCTCTTCCACCTTCAAGCTTCACTAACACCCAACCTGCGTATCGGCCCAGTGTCATAAATCGCCATACCTGTGTGAAGACAAAGTTTTGAGAATGAACATATCCTGCTAATTCCAGACCCTCAATATAACTTAAATTCACATTCAATTCATTCACAATTCATTTTAGTTATGAGCTGGCTTTGAATAACGGATTACAGATTTATAAAACATGTGACAAGTCCTCTCGCCATTAACTAAGACCAAGGAATTAGCATGGGAACCAGATGCCTACAGTAACCCCACCCCGGGTCCTGACTTGAATCAGGTGCAACACTGCCCCTAGACCGGCCACGCGTGCTCGTCCTTGCTTAAAGTCCCTTCGGATGCGTCGCATATGCGGAGGATTTGCATGTTCAAATAATATTACGCAGTGGATGAAATATGTTGTCTGACGAACTTTCATTGCATTTTAATCCACCGTAACTCACTGTAAGATCCGGGTTCCATACAGGATTTCCGTTCCTACACTATTTATAATAAGTACATAATGATTAATGATTTCGTGGAGCTCGGAATACCCAGGTAAGAATGGAGCCAGGAGATGCGCGCACTGTCTTAGGCATTCTCGCCTGCTCCTCCTCGCTGAAGTAGTGTTGTACGGATGTGGTAACTTTTCCCCGAGAATCGCGCTCGCCGCATCCGATGCGCGCGGTCGCGCGTTTGCAAGGGATAGGTTTGAATTCACAGTGGAAGGATACGGTAGCCGCCATGGAATCACTGCCACCTGCAGTGGGAATTGGGGGGGAGAAGTACTGAACACCCCTGTCCTAGTGATCAATTTCATTTCATACCAATCATGCTCAGTTACCCACTTCAATTCTCCCCCTTCTTTGGCCTAATATTTTTTTGCACCCTTTGGGGCAAATTCGCCCTCTGCCTCATCTCCGTTATGCTCTGGTTTGGCTGTTTTGGTACTGAGGATAGGACGCAGAGCACCATGGCTTGGCGCTCGTAACCCATTTTCATCCTTCAAGATACCGTAGCCCCACATTTAAGATTACTGTATCACAACATCAAAGCCTGGCCGATCAATGCAAAACACAATGTATAATAAGAAAGGCAAATTGGCAGATTTCAGAGCCTGCAGATTCGAGGTACGGTAACCACGGGGTGGGATTGAAATTAGACTACAATTGCGCGATGTATCAAATTAAAACTTTTGGGCAGGTGCACGAGTGCTCATGGTACACTGGAAACTGTGTTGGTACGCAACTAGACATTCGAGAAAGACCCCGAATCCAGAATTGCTGTACCACAACATCGAAGCCTGACTGCAAGCATGGGGAACGGGCGGAAGTTCCCGCTGTGCCTACCGTATCCCTCCATCGGGAAAAGAGCAGTAGGTTCTTACCTTCAACTGATGAAACAACGTAGTGTTGTGGTCCAGAGATCTTGAGGAAATGAACTACAAGGGACACAAGACGAACAAAAAAATCTCCCACATAGGAACAATTGAAAAAAGCATGGGAAAGGCTTTGAAAATACAGTAGATTCGCTAATAGACTGTGGTAAAGCCAGGCAATAGGTAAGGTAAGTAGCACCTTACAGATACCTTAGTGAGAATACCTCAATGCGGAGCTCTCGGAAACTTTTAGTTGAGACTTTTTTTCTTAGAACTCAGTTCCGACTAGAGTAGTTGGTGTGATCCTTCCATTTTCTTTTCACTTTTGCGGAGAACGTCCGTTCCGCGCGTCCGTCGAAACTAGGTCACCTAGCCCACTTCGCACGCGGCGCAGCCCACTAAGAGCTCAAGATACATTACAGTATCACTTAGTGTCGGAGGAGCGGACGATTTGCACTAGTACGGGTTATCTTCACTTTAGGCTGACGAGCGCGTTCGTATGCCCCGCTGACAAATGCGACATTTGTCAAAGATCGCGGACTGACCCGACGCGTGCGACTGATGCGGCATGACCTAGTTTCGACAGACGCGAGCAACGAAACGCATCCCACCTTTGTAAACCTTTCTGAGGGGCTAAATATGACTCTGCCAGCAATAGAAGGCTTATACAACGGTATCCGTTAACGCTTCCAATTGGATTTCCATTCGGTTTGGTAGTGGCGCTTTGAGTGCACATGAGGTTTACACAATGACTTGCAGCGTATCAGAATTTGATCCCAGGCCTATGCATGAGCGTTAGTGCGCCAAGTGCTACTACATCTCATCTGCCCAAATTGGTTATTCACGTTACTAAAAGACTCTTCATACATCTACGTGGACAGCCTCTACTTGCTGGACTTGTTGCTCGCCTAAAGGCTAATGATTGGTGATTCGCGTTCACAGAAAAGGGCCTTCATTTTCGAAAAAGCGCATATTCGAAAAGTGCAGACATGCAGTGGAAATGTGCTTCTCGGGACGCTCTCGCTTTGCACGCAGTTTCGCTCAAATGGTGCAGCGCCGCTGCAGATTGCGTATGACGTCATGGGAGGAAGTTCAAACGCAGGTTGAATTTCCATCACCCCCAGTTGTTGTTGTCTCTTAAAAAAANAGAAGAGTTTTTGTGCTTTCGGTTGTACTCGGTTGTGACCGAGGTCAGCCTGGGGAAACAATGTGGCATAAGGTTGCTCAATGGTCCCGGACGTTTCTCATAACAAAAATGTAATTCTGCTCAAACTGGTTCGGGGGAAGCCTTCGACTTTTCGAAAATGCTAGGAAGGTTGAACTGCTCAACGGTCTGAGGGACACTCGACCACGAACCTCAGCATGAACCGTTCGAACTGCGCATGGTACTCAACCTCGACCTCATTTATAGATGGAGAGGCATCATAATGGCAGCAGAGGTTAAGGTGAAGGACTCACCGATAGTGCAGATGATTCCAGTCTTACGAACGAGATGTGGTGGCTCACGAATATCGAGCCGGCAGAGATGTTCCAGATGGGTGGTAGCCACATCGCCGATCTTTTGCTCCTGTCTGAAACATATCGGAATTAACAGGCTTCTCGGGGTTCATTCAATATTCAAGCTTCTACTTAAGCATCTTCTTACACCCATAACTAAGCTTTCTAATGCAGCTTTCCTACCGGGAACCCATTATCGTCATAGGAAAAAGATGCACGCATAATTCCCTGAATACATCAATTCCTGACACTCGTCAAGGGGTTTCCTGGAATGCTTCCAAGCAACGACATATAAACGAGATTGATTGGGAAGTGTTCATAACGGCACAACGGAGAGCTCGTCGGGTGTTCGCTCCCAATCAAAGGCACCTCCGCCGACCGCGGTGCCTATCCCATATTCAATTACGGAGAATAATCGAAGCATTCACTACCAGTTAGCCAATTTCCCCGGTGAACATTAGGCATTCCGATACCAAATTTAATAGGCATCTAACTCTAGCAGCAATCGATTTGACACTTACATTTCTGACGGCCCCCAGCCAGCTTTCACTTTAACAGTACCCGATTCCATAGCAGAAATAATGACGTAGATGTCCTCCGACTAGCAACGATTAGCTAGGATGAACCAAAATTAGATAATACTCTCTGATAGAACGGAATCGTAAACAAGTCGGCAAAACCAAGAACGGAAGAACGACAGCATGAAGGGAAACTGAGAAAGGGATGTGACTGTGTAACCGATCGTGAGAGGGCAACCGGCTTCACTAAGACTCTTTGGGCATGGGGAGTAGGGGCATTTCAAGGACATGCACTTCGCCGTTCTGCAAGGAGCTGCAGAGGACTTCATGATGCAATGCTGCGGTGAGTGCGAATGTCGAAATGAGGGCTGAGGCGGAGTGCAGCGCGATTCGAAGTCGTTGACGCATGAAAAACGTCTCGGAAGGCAATAACGGCAGAGAGTTCATCTTTATCCAGCTGCTCCCCCCATTATCTTCCCACGCGAAGCAGCAGGTGGACAAGTTCGGTACAGGTGTACGTCGTCGCCGTCTCCGAATCAGAAGATATGAAGGCCAGGACAACCAGAGCCCCGCCAGCCTTGACTCCCGGGATCGATACGCGGCCACAGGGTGCTGCTGGTGCAAACGCGGCAAATCCACGGACGAATGAAGGAATAACAAGCCGCGGCCTAAAAGGCCATGGGATCACATTTTCGATCGATTCCGGGAAAAGGCATGGGCGAGGAACTCAAGTAGCGGGGAAGATTGATTCAAGCTCGGTAATGAGCTGCATGGGATCTCTTCGCTCACTACTGAGCGCTTTCCATCCCGGAAGCGATCAGCTTAATCCCTACATCTGTTCGCCCTATGATATCATTACCCCATGGTTGCTTGGGAAACGGTGCCTAATAGCTCCCAAAGCAGCTTCCAAAGCTCTTATATCGACCCCCCAACAATATGAAGGAACAAGTTCCAGAGTTTTTCTGCTGTATGCAAATCACGCTTTCCGGTTTGGCTTGGACTCTCTGAGCTTTCCCTTGCTCCTTCCTTGTACTCCTAATTGATGACAAGAATTTCCATCAATATGAATTTGGTTCCTAACAATAAAACTTCCCTGTAGAACTGGGAATATGATAGAATCAGCCTAATGGCATAGCTACAGCTGGGACTCCTCAGGGAGTGTCTCGGCGAAAAGAATGTGAGCAGGTTCCGAATGGTTCGGACAATTGTGTGACTCAAGCACTTTTGTAATGGCCCATATGGGATTGTATAGGAACCTTCTCGAGCCTGTAAGAACTATTTGCTGACTCATTCGATCGGGTGGGTGAGGAAGGAAGGACGTGATGCAATACGTGTATGACGCAACCGGAGTGGGAGCACGACGAGACGCATTCAGGTCTAGGAATCACCCTGCACTTGACCCAAAAACCGAGCACGACGAGGGTCCAGTCGTCCGGTGATGTCATCGCCCACACTTCAGCTATCACTCAGACAACCATGTGCGCCACGTGCTTCACTGATTTACGATCAACAACGTTCCCAGGGAACGTGGCCTATTCCACTTCCCACGGACGGTTGAAAACAAGCACTGAGAATTCGATTCACCCTTCGGGAAAATCAATCAGTCAACACCCATCCAGAGGCCGTCGTTTCCAAGGAATGGTCCTTTCTTCGCCGGACGCAGCCAGATGTGCACATCTGGGCAGGAAAAAACTCCAACTTGAAACTCCCCACATATTGCATCGGTATAAAATGATCACACAACATCGATAACTCCTGGAAGTAATGCAAAAACCCATGAATGCAGATTCTAAACTCACAATCTTGGATAATAAAGTATGGGAGGAGGGAGAAAATAGCAGAATACCATGGAGTGCAACCTTATGGGCCGAAATAAATAGCCACAAATTCTCAAACTCAGGGGAGGGAATTCAAACACTTTCCCCATCATATGATTCGCATCACAGCTACCCATAAGCACTTGTTTCTAAAGATCACCCTACCCCAGGCATTCCCGTGAAATCGATAGAAAAAGTCTGAAATCCCTGCATACACGATTGGGTGGGAGTTTTTGTGCCCTGACCGCAATGTATGCATTCACATATTGAATTGTATCGAGTCTCAAAACCTTTACCAATCAAAAACCCCACTGGTCCCTCAAAAAGAATGTAAAGAATGTAGCCTCCCGGGCAAGCACAAACTCACACGAAATACTCTCCCATGTGTTCCTCTTCGACAGTCATTCTACGAGCAAGAGTTGGACGTCGATTGACTCTGGGTGGGACGTCTGGTACCACGTCCACCAGTTCTTCGGCCTAGAAAACGTAAACTGAGCCAGGGTCGACATAAAAGGGAAAAAATCTTGAATCTAGGAGAAACTGTTACCTGTTTCAGCATATCGGCGGACATTTCTCTACAACAGGGAGTGAGTGAATGGTGTGATCAACAGGCAGCAGTAATGCCGTAGCAGCAGTGAATGAGAGCGAGGGTATTGGGAAGTGGTCGCGATAAACCGGCCGGACGGACGGTCGGCCGCTGCGAAAAACGTAATTGTTGCGCCGGCAGCAAGCAACAGTGACGAGCTGCAGCTCCTACTGCGGTTTGCTGGAGATAGGAGCATGAAGTCTTGGGTGACAAATGGCTTTGATAACACCCGATAACACCTGGCCAAGACAAGAACAAGAAAGTCTCAGAGGAAAAAGTTGTTGAAAAGGAAAAAAGTCGAGAGGTCGGAGAGTCCTCAATGCGCAGCCGCTAAGCAAATACTTGACACTAGCCTATTCAATACCTTCTATACTAACAAGCGGATGTTTTACAATAGTAACATACTTGGAAAGGATAGAATAGGCTAAGTTTAAGGGTTCTTTGTGAGTGGAAAGAAAAAAAGAACTCTTTGACGTATTCTCTTTCAACCTTGGTCTAGCTCGGTTTCGCCCTGATCCTAGCGGGTGGTCGAAGTAACCAGGGACGAAATTCGCTAGCAATCGTGGACAACACAACAAGAAGGACTCTAGACATGAGTCACACCGGACGAGCTTCCTTCTTGTAACTTCTCCCTAGTAGGCCCTTCTCTTTCATATTCAAACGCAAACGCTTGCTAAAGAGTTTCTGTCACCCACGGGTTTCTAGCTGACCAAAGAAGTATCCAAGCTTCGGTTACATCGCTTTTTCGACGTGCACGGGCTGTGGGGAAAAATAGATGAAGCTCAAGGTGTAGAACCCCCAATCAGGGTCATAGGCTGTCTAAGAAAACGGTTATTTATTGATTCGTTCTCATGAACTTCACGATTATTCAACGCTGCGGTCTGGGAGACATTAGATGTCCAAATGCATAAAACTCCATACAGGAAGGAGAAAAGACACTTCATTTTCGGGTGAATTTCGTTCTTCCACCATATGCCGCCATTAGGCCCAATTAGTTAAGAAAAAAAGTTGGATGGGTGGCAGGAAGGACTGCCTGAAGCCCATCACTTAACGTACATCAAAAAAGTTGATGCGATGGAGTCCCAGCAGACCACGTTGTCGCCTTGTGTTGAGAAGTTCCATCAATAGTGGGAACTGTCACCTGGCACTGTTGCCATTTATGGAATCTCAGGCTAAACAACGCCCATTTGGTGGTTCGGGAACGTTCATCAAAACAGGACATTGCAGCAGTTGTAAACATTGAACAAAAGTTGTTATGTGAGAATGATAGCAAAAGGGAAACTGCAATGATGAACAAACAATGTCCATTTGTACACTGATCTGTGGTATGCACTAATTGTTTATGATGGGAGTACTACATCGTGGAAACTATCCAAATACTTTACTGAATCCCACCAAACTCGCTGGGCTTCGAAAAGCGGTGAGCACGAGATGCCCATATGGATCATCTTATCACCACCTAAAGGCTGATTTGGAACCAAAAGAGTCAAGATGACCAGAAGTGGCATGGGAGCTTCCCGAGGTTGCATCCGTTCAAATTCATAAATTTCTCGGACAAATGAAAAGGTACATTTGATTTCCATACGCCTCTCATGGGAGAATACAAAAAAGGTTTGCCCATCCGGGCAAATATGCAGTCTGTCCTTATGTGTACTCGAACTTTCCTGCAAAGTCCAGTGATATTGCACAAATGGTTGACCCAAAGGGACCAATTAAGGGACTCACGGGAAATGGGAATTCGGGAGGACTCACGGGAAATGATATACGAATGGTGGAATCATGTCACGGATCATCTAAACGCTTATGCGTATTATCAAAGATCACGCTTCCTGAGGGTAATCAGCCCAAACACGTTTAGTGGGAAGATTGGTAACCTTAGAAGAATGACGGGGCAGAAATGTATGACTTTCATAACCAGTTTCCTTAATCATTGATGTTTCGTAGGCGAAAACGGTTACGCCAAAAGTTTCCGGGCGATTTCGGTGATTCACATGGCTCGCCTGCCCAGTACACGTGCATTCCCCATGTCGAGATCGACTCGCATGTCTCCATCATTCACACATCAATTAGCGAGACACTTTTTTACGGCGAAATTCTGGCCATCAGGCTACCGGGTGGTATTGTCGGGGTACAGGTCTTGATTAGCATGAGAAACCGGGAGACCTAAATTCAATCA